TGTTGTAGAAGTTTTGTGCATAAAAGTGCACGAAGGATACGTGTAAGTACAGTTCGGAACTGTTTAGGAACACAAAAGTACACGTCACATTACTGCATGAGTTTGAGCATTTTTAAGATATTATTCGGTCGGGGTAAATGTAACTCGGCCGTAGTAGTTCGAATCGTGTACTATGTGCACTTCGATCATTTTTAAGCATCATTTCTGAAAGAGTTTGCGGTACTTTATCAATCTAGTGACTTTATCTTGCATCTGATTGGCATATTCCGTTAGATCTAAAAATATAGGCCGAACAGATACGAGAGCTCACTGAGCTCTTAGTGAGCGGTTATAGTATTGAATGCACCCATTATTAGACTCTATTCGTAGAGTCCTAGGACTCTAATTATACGCAGTAATGAATTAAAATGGCGCTCTGATCACGTCATTTAGAGCCACTTTCATCAAGCTCAGTTACCCAGTCTAGTAACTGTAATGAAATAGAAAGAGATAGAAATAGTTCTATCCCTTTCTATTTCATTACAGTTATTAGGTTGGTTCAGTTAACTGAGCTTGGTGGAAGTGGCCCTTAGATAGCCAATCAGACCATTCCCTTCAATGTCGCATTTCTGGTTTCTAGGACTCTAATAACTAAAGTGTACCTAAATATAGGTACCGGTACACAAGAAATGGTACCTAGGTATAGGTATCAGAAAAAAAAGTGCCTCGGTACAGGTACTATAACTAGGTACAAATTTGTTTACTAGGTAAACAAATTTGTACCTAGTTATAGTACCTAGGTACTTGTACCTAGGTATTGCACAACACTGGACTTCTATATATGTTTATATATTTAAAATATATTAAAATTTTAAACATTTTCAACACAAATGTTTATTTGTAAATGCGTTATGAGGCTTATACATATATTATAATCTTTATAGAACATTTACAAATAAACATTTGTTAAGTTATGAAAGTTGTAGGGACCCTTCTTTTTGTCTTTAATTACAAATAATCTACGCGATGCAACTAAAGCAAGAGTGGCTTGAAAGCTGCTTCTTAGAATTTGATAACTAGCTCTTAAACTAACTGACATGTCTTAAGGTTATTTTGTGACACCGGACGACCACCAGCAAACGCAAATCTGTAATGACATTTAAATTATATAATAAAAATCTTACGCATTCATGTAACTGTCAGCTTTATTAATATTATGATATGCACCTTATTTCTCATCTTGGCTTTCTTATGGTTACTGCACACTGGATGAGAGGTTTGCTTTGCGTCGCCACGTGAGAAAAAACAGAGTTTTTATTGGATATCGCTCGTCGCTCATCGCTCATCGCGTCCAGTGTGCAGTAGCCATTAGGCTGCGTTCAGAAACTTCACCTTGTGGGTGATTGCTAGGAGTCTGTGTGAATGAAATGGTAGGGATAAGGTACCCTCTCTGGTGTGTACATTTCTGAACGACCTAGCCGGAGGAAAATGGCGGAGCGTAAAAAACGGGTAGCACCCATTTGGACACGGCTCAATTGGACACGAGCCACTCACAGCGCTTGAGACTATAAAGCTCCTACGTATCAGTCGCTGTGATTGGTGGTGTCCAATCGAGCAGTGGTCAATCAAGATCACCTCTACATGATATGACTAATTTAATTATTCATTTTGATACATATTGTACGGGAGTAGTACACCATTCTTTATGCATTGCCGAAATTAAGATAATTTAATAGACACTTACTAGTTAATACGCGTATCAAGTGTTCCCGTAAACAAGGTCAATAACCTCTAATATTAAATGTTTTGTGCAAATAAATGCAATCACGTTAGACATTATATTCAATTAATTATAATTACGTTTAAAGATAAATATTTTGCAAACAAATTGATTTATCAAAGACCACTATACAGTTATTACACTTTAACGGGAATTCATACGCAACATAACGAAAAAATCTTTATTGTACTTCATCGTAAATTATAATCGATCGAAGTAAAATATATTTTACTTACTTCCAGGATTCCACAATATAATTTGATTTTCATTATTAAATTGCATTAATAAATTATTATTTGTAGCCATGGCTGCGTTCAGCAGACTCAACAGTTTTGCAACCGTTTTGTGATTCTTCGCTGAAATAGGACTATTTCTTTAAATCTAAAAATATAATCCAATCAGTGCGATAAATCACAAAACGGTTGTAAAACTGCTGAGTCTGCTGAACGCAGCCCATGTTTCACGCGCTTTGTGTGCCTATTCGATCGAGAGACTTTCCACTGCGTTCAGATACTACACTCGGGAGCACCCAAGCTCCCGAATGCCGTTCAGAAACCAATTGAGAATATTTGTCGTAGTTCAACGCACAAGGATTTTACGTATGTCGTTTACGTATATCCTATTGCGCCAGTTGTTTGCGTCAACTGACGCAATAGGATATACGTAAACGACATACGTAAAATCCTTGTGCGTTGAACTACGACAACGACTTACGATTACGACTCAGTTGCGATCATCTTTGTGCGCGGACCCTATCTCAGCGTTACTAGGTGGCCCGTTCAGAAACGTGTTGGGTGTTCCCGATCGGGAGACTTTTGCACCCTGCTCTTTTGCTAGGGCTGCGTTCAGAAACTTCACCTTGCGGGTGATTGCTAGGAATCTGTGTGAGTGAAATGGTAGGGTCTAGATTCCACTCTTAGGGTCCGCGCACAAAGATGATCGCAACTGAGTCGTAGTCGTAAGTCGTTGTCGTAGGTCAACGCACAGGGTCCGCGCACAAAGATGG